TGGGTGCTTGTTAAGATTAAATTTCACATCAGCAGATTCAGTTATGAGTCTGCACTGTAAAGTGTAGTTTGCCCTTTTGCTGGTCTCTCAGCTCAGACGTGATTGTCTGGAAGCATACCTCTGTATGTACGTTTAAGCTGTGCCGCATAAATGCCCACTCCTAGCAAAGATGCACACACGAGGGAGGGTGGGTATTATAGCCTTCTCCTATGCACTCACAACCTTGCTCTTGAACAAGTATCATGCCAGCATGACCTTAGTTCTCACACGTACACACTTGAGCTCATTTTCCCAACTGCAGTCATCTTCCCACATGCATGAGTGCCACCGGATCTCTTAGTACTTAGCGAATGGCCCCTGAGTCTCTGGGACTAGGTTCCGTTGACAGGTGTTGTGGCTGAAATGACATCAGATGGGAATGATAGTTCCATCTGAGGTGTCAGGTCTGTGCTGGCTTGTTCAGGCATTCATGTCATCTCTTGGTGGACGGAGTCTCAGGATCAGATAACCCAACGTGGCCCTCTTCACACATGGCCAGCAGACAACATCCTGCCCAAAAAACCCATCCACTCTTGCGCACACGGCTCTGCCTGCCATGCTGTTTCAACACACACACACACACACACACACACAGAGCATGCAGGTCTGCTCATACAGACAAACTCTGCCAACACAATCTGTATGCTACATATCTGAATACAGAATACACATTTTCCAGCATAACACATTCCTATGATAAATTTCATTTTTCATATACACATCTACACCCAGGATTATTAATTTAAGACATTCTAAGTCTTAGAAAGAAAAGAAAGATCTAGCTGCATTTAAAAAAAAATAAAACTGCAGTTTTGAAACTTAAGCCAAACCGCCGAGATATGGGTTAGCCTATACCTATACTGACCCCCCTCAAGGATGGTAACAAATTTGGGGAAGGGATTTAGACAGGAGAAACAGTGTGGGGCTAAACGCCCCCTCCCTGACGCACTGTTGCTCTGAGTCAATTCAGAGTCTCCGGCACCTATTTTAATACCCCCAGAGTCAAAAGATCCTACCGGGAATCTCCCACCTTGCATTTAGCATGGCTCTTCCCGATTGTAAAAAGTTGTGTTTTCCCCTCTACTTCTGAGGAACACTTGAATCAGAACTAAATGCCAAGGGCTGAATATGCCTTGTAATGGAACTACGTTAAACCTAAAGTGCAATAGATGTAGTATTTGCCAACCTATTTCCAAAAACTCCAGAAGCCGATAGAGAAAGTTGTTAAAAAAAAACCCACACTAAGAATATACCATACATTTGATTGGGTTGTTTGTTTGTTTTGCAGGCAAACTGAGGTCAGGAGAGATTGTTGGAGATTCTATTTTTTTTCCCCTCCCCAAATATATTCATGCAAACCCTCCCACATTTTCTCTCACTCTCGAGAGTTTTGCCTCCTTCCACTCACCCCCATTCTCCTTGCCTGGCTTCTTTAGCTCAAAGCTCCAAAAAAAGAAAAGGGGGGAAAAAGGATGAGGACAGATTTCTCAAACGGCCTAGGCCAACTCCACCACAGTTTGTGAGGCATACCCCCCACACACACACACTGAAGAAATCTCAGCAGCTAGGCCAGTGAAGGGAGAGAGGGGCTGGGCTGGGGAGCCCAGGGGTGAGCTTGGGGGCAGAGAGGGCCCTGGGCCACCCAAGAAAGAGCCGCAGATGCAGGAAGAGGTAGAGGACGACCTGGGGAGATGTCAAGTGTCTAAGCCACCAGAGACAAGGGGAGGGGGCTGCAGGGAAAGGCTAAGGCCGTGAGAGGGCAGAGATCACCCTGGGAGGCAGGCTAAAAAGAGGGACTCTCCAGTCCCAGGGAGAGCACAGGGTGCTTGTGTACATGTGTGTGTGGGAGGGGTGCGTGTGTGGGCCCATGGCCCACCACAGAGGAAAACTAAGAGCAGGGCTCCCTAGCAAGATGAACTGGGGAACTGAGGTGGTGCTGGGGTCATGAGGTCTGTTGGGGGCAGAACGGAGGTATTGGAGGTGCCTCAGAGCTGTGAGGAGGTGCATGGCCTACACCACTGTAGCTGGACAAAGAGGCTCCCAGAGCCAGGTGCCACAGAGAGACGGGAAAGGCAGCCAGGGCCGGAGGAAGGGAATGTGAAGGAAGCAGAGAGGGGAGGCCGGTGGAGGGGAAAGGCTGGGGTGGGGGACACACAGACAGCAGCACAGGCCAGATGGGGCAGGAGAAGCCCTGGGGGGTGATATCACTCCAGAGCCAGCAGGGGGAGCAGAAGTGGGGTGTGGGTGAAGGAAAAGGAAGAGAGATGAATGGGGAGACAGTCAAGGCGGAGGAAGGCCAGTGTGTGTTGGGGGGGGCAAGGCACTCGGGAGAAGGAAATAAAAGGGGGCGGGGAGGAAGGCGAAGGAGTGCATTGCAGGCCCTGGGAAGATGGGGCAGAAAGGCAGAGCAGTTAAATCTGGGGGTGGAAAGAGACGGCAAGTCCAAGGACTGACGCTGCAGGCGGAGTGTGTGTGTGTGTGTGTGTGTGTGTGTGAGTGAGAGAGAGAGAGAGAGAGAGAGAGAGAGAGAGAGAGAGACCCTCCAGGGGCCAAGGGAGCTTCTCCAGTCCGCGAACTCCTCCCGCGGCGGCCTCTCTTTTGCCCCAACGACGCGTGACGGGCGCATCCTGCAGGGCTGCCTCCAGACACGTGTTTGACAGGCACACGCCGAAACTTCGACAGGCGGATTTATCCCCGGGCGGGACAAGAGTCCTCCTCCGGGAAGTGGCCCCGAGCCAAGGGATGCAGCAGGGAGCCGAGAGGAGGGAGGGAGGGAGAAAGGCGAGGGGCAGGGAGGGAGGGAGGGAGGCAAAGAGGGAGACCAGCTGGAAGCGTT